CTTTTTGTGCGCAAAAAACAACAAAAATAACGACTTAATTTCAACTATTCATTTACTTCTCTCTCTGCCTCGAGTCAGGTTACTGGTTTAATAACGTAAGCTTCTGTTATTGTACGTTACACGCATCACACACATGACCAGCGTCGGCCAATAGCGAGCCTACGTATGACGTAGCTCTACGCCATCACACTACGTTAACTGACTAGATGGCCATAAAATAAAATAAAAATAAAAATATCCAGAAATCACAATCTATGTTTTTTTTAACTATTTATTTGTATGATATAGCTGCAAATAAGTATTTGAACACCTGAGAAAATCAATGTTAATATTTGGTACAGTAGCCTTTGTTTGCAATTACAGAGGTCAAACGTTTCCTGTAGTTTTTCACCAGGTTTGCACACACTGCAGGAGGGATTTTGGCCCTCTCCTCCACACAGATCTTCTCTAGATCAGTCAGGTTTCTGGGCTGTCGCTGAGAAACACGGAGTTTGAGCTCCCTCCAAAGATTCTCTATTGGGTTTGGAGAATCTTGGAAGACCCAGCCTCGACCCATCTTCAATGCTGAAACTAAGGGGAAGGAGGTTGTTCCCCAAAATCTCGCAATACATGGCCCCGGTCATCCTCTCCTTAATACAGTGCAGTCGCCCTGTCCCATGTGCAGAAAAACACCCCCAAAGCATGACGCTACCACCCCCATGCTTCACTGTGTTGCATGGTGTTCTTGGGATGGTACTCATCATTCTTCTTCCTCCAAACACAGTTAGTGGAATTATGACCAAAAAGTTCTATTTTGGTCTCATCTGACTTTCTCCCATGACTCATCTGGATCATCCAAATGGTCATTGGCAAACTTTAAGGTTTAAGCAGGGGAACCTTCCATGCAATGCATGATTTCGAACCATGATGTCTTAGTGTATTACCAACAGTAACCATGGAAATGGTGGTCCCAGCTCTTTTCAGGTCATTGACCAGCTCCTCCCATGTAGTTCTGGGCTGATTTCTCACCTTTCTTAGGATCTTTGAGACCCCACGAGGTGAGATCTTGCATGGAGCCCCAGTCCGAGGGAGATTGACAGTCATGTTTAGCTTCTTCCATTTTCTAATGATTGCTCCAACAGTGGACCTTTTTTCACCAAGCTGCTTGGCAATTTCCCCGTAGCCCTTTCCAGCCTTGTGGACGTGTACAATTTTGTCTCTAGTGTTGGTCTTGACCATGTTAGTAGTTGGATTCTTACTGATTGTATGGGGTGGACAGGTGTCTTTATGCAGATAACAAACTCAAACCGGTGCATCCAATTTAGGATAATAAATGGAGTGGAGGTGGACATTTTAAAGGTAGACTAACTTTGAGGTATTTGAGGGTCAGAATTCTAGCTGATAGACAGGTGTTCAAATACTTATTTGCAGCTGTATCATGCAAATAAATAGTTAAAAAAAATCATACATTGTGATTTCTGGATGTGTTTTTTTTTTTTTAGATTATGTCTCTTGCACCTACAATGACAATTTCAGACCCCTCCATGATATCTTAGTGGGAGAACTTGCCAAATTTTCCTCACTGTACTATAAAAATAAATTAATAAATATTTTATATATAAAAGACACATTTTTCTTAAATATATTCATGTGTGTATTAATATACAAAATTATTATACACAGTACGCACATATATAATCTGTAGCAGCTTTAACGTGTATTATTTTATAACCCTATAAAGCCTACTGTGTAATATTTGATTTGCATTTTTTTTAAAGTCCTCTTGCATGATCACAATTTAGCTAAATCAATCTACTAAATATCTTCTGTCCTTGGATTAATAGATCATTCTTTTTTGTGGCAAAAATGCATTTAGTATAATTTCAAAAAATGGTCCCCTTCAGGTACTGATGCATTTGCTGTGAAATAATTTTTTTTTGTATAAAGTAAACAATCACTTTTGTATTGCTATTAATATTTCAAGATGAACATTTACTGGACTGAAGGTCTACTTTATTATCCATCCATATGTATATATTAGGAGATATAAAGTGACAACTGATATTTATAAGCATTTTAAAAATGCTTATAAATCCCATTGATGTACATTACAAGTTATTAGGCTTTACAGGGTTAATATTGTAATTTACTGCAATGACATTGACATTTTGATCGTTTTGAGGCCACTGCATACAAGACTGCCGCTAATACCACAAACACATCATTCACTTGCAACTCCCCAGTTGCCCACAGGAGGCGCTGTTGTCTTGTTTTATGCGTTCATCTGATCAGCTCCTCTTTGTGTGTCCTTGTTTTTGTGATGAGTGAAAGTGCTGTTAAGGGACTCACACAACTAGAGAGATTAACACTGCCTTATTACAGCCCCACACACACTCAGATGCCTCGTGAGTTCTTTCGTTCCTGAGCGGAAGGTCCGTTTTGTGAGAGCACAATGAGTCCGTCTTCCATTTGGAGGTCATTCAGGCCTAAACTCTACAGATTCTTACATTTTCTCACCGTATCACGGGAGTCGTACTCCATTTTGGCTTCCCCTCCGCTGTGACCTGTCTGACAGCAGACGGCGATGAGCGTCTAGGATGAGTGTAGATGACCAGTGGTATTTTTTTTTTTTCCCACTGTACTAATGCAGTGGGCGGCCTGGAAGCTTGATGCCCGTTTGCTAAACTGCAGCGCTGCGAATATTCCCAGCAGCCCCACTGGTCCTGTCAGCCAGAGCTCGCCGCACTCTTTAAGGTTAGACTCATGTTGCCAAGGAGACCGAGCAGCAGTGTGTGTGTAGTTCTATGATATCCTTCCTCAACCTGTGACTTGCCTGTCAGAGCCGCGGTTCGACTCATTCGCAGTGCTTTCTAAATAAATCTATTGTTAAAGTGGCTTTTGCCCCAGTAAAATGATTATGACGTTCAGTGAAGAAAATGATCTGTGTGTTTGGTATGGGAAATGATTAACCTGTTCAGAATTTGCTGTATTAAAATGTGGAGGTTTAGGATGTCAGGATTTAGGATTGTGCTTACTAAAACTGAAATCATAAAAATGTTACTTTTAATAAAATCAAATGTAAGTAAATACCATCTAGTTGCCAAGGAATCATTTCTCATTTTCTTTTTTTAACTTGAAGAACCAAATCAACTAAAAAAGAAATGAAAAATGAGTAAGAACTAGACGTATTTAAAAAAGTATGAAAAAAAAAACTTAATGATTAAAACTTTAAATGAAAATGGAAAAATTGTGTGTGTGAGAGAGAAAAAAGAAAAATAAGTATTATTTTAATATTGTAAGAGAAAAGAAAAGAAAAAGGGGAAGGAAGATGACTGAATGTGGCCTAGATTAGAGAGAGAAGAGAGTACGGAGCCCCTCTAGTCCCACTTTGGTAAAAAAAAAAATAATTATAACTATCTTGTGGCCTCAAGATAGTAACTCGTGGCCTCAAGATAGTAACTCGTGGCCACAAGATACTAACTTGTGGCCTCAAGATAGTAACTCGTGGCCTCAAGATAGTAACTCGTGGCCTCAAGATAGTAACTCGTGGCCACAAGATACTAACTTGTGGCCTCAAGATAGTAACTCGTGGCCTCAAGATAGTAACTCGTGGCCTCAAGATAGTAACTCGTGGCCTCAAGATAGTAACTCGTGGCCTCAAGATAGTAACTCGTGGCTCAAGATAGTAACTCGTGGCCACAAGATAGTAACTCGTGGCCTCAAGATAGTAACTCGTGGCCTCAAGATAGTAACTCGTGGCCTCAAGATAGTAACTCGTGGCCTCAAGATAGTAACTCGTGGCCTCAAGATAGTAACTCGTGGCCTCAAGATAGTAACTCGTGGCCTCAAGATAGTAACTCGTGGCCTCAAGATAGTAACTCGTGGCCTCAAGATAGTAACTCGTGGCCTCAAGATAGTAACTCGTGGCCTCAAGATACTAACTCGTGGCCTCAAGATAGTAACTCGTGGCCTCAAGATACTAACTCGTGGCCTCAAGATACTAACTCGTGGCCACAAGATAGTAACTCGTGGCCACAAGATCTTGTAGGCCACGAGTTACTATCTTGAGGCCACGAGTTAGTATCTTGAGGCCACGAAAAAAAAAAAATTATAACTATCTTAGATCCTATCTATCTATCCTAGATAGAGTATCTTGAGGCCACAAGTTACTATCTTGTGGCCACGAGTTACTATCTTGAGGCCACGAGTTACTATCTTGTGGCCACGAGTTACTATCTTGTGGCCACGAGTTACTATCTTGAGGCCACGAAAAAAAAATAATTGTAACTATCTTGTGGCCAGATAGTAACTCATGACCTCAAGATAGTAACTCGTGGCCACAAGATAGTAACTCGTGGCCTCAAGATAGTAACTCGTGACCTCATATATATATATATATAGGCTTATAGGCTTATAATGAGGTCCAACTATTTTTTTGACCTATTTAATAAGGTCAAGTCAACATGAGCAAGAATACACTCTTGTGTACAAACCTCTCCAATTTTATGATTTGTTTGTGCCATTTTATTATTTAAAGTTGTGTAGATTTGTTATGCGGGATTGACTGATTATTTGAATATTTTGTTATGTTCTTGTTTAATGACTTTTTACTAGATTTATTCTTTATTGTCTTGTAAGAATATTAAAATGTGCAACAAAATACTGGTCTTGTATCCTATAAAAATGGTCTATGCAGATTAAGTCTCTTCTAGGACTCTTTGCTGTATATTTCTGCTGCGAATCACCAACATGAGTGTAAATACACTTGGCAGTGGTCAAACAAATTTGGCAATGTTCAGTTTTCCCGAAGGACATTTTTGTGTTGCAACTGTGCATGTGTGAGTCAAGCTGTTTTAATAGAGACAAATGCTTTCTGTGTATATGCCCTCCAATTCTACTGTATCTCACATTTGAAGATTTCCATTTTGAGGGTTCATCGTTTTTCCCCTGTCTTTGTCTTCCACTTGAATTCTTTGTCTCCGTCTCTTTCTTATTTTCTTTTGTCTTTTGGCTCTTTGCAGAGGAAGAGGTGGAAAATTTCAATGTTTCCAGCTTACAGGAAGAGGTGTTGCGGAACATCGAGGCTGACAGCTTCTGGTGCATGAGCAAGCTCCTGGACGGGATTCAGGTAAATTGATTCCCTATCTGCCAGCGGTCGGGCCTGATACATTCACTCTGTGTGTGTGTGTGTGTGTGTGTGTGAGAGAAGAGAGAGAGAGTAGAGCACCGCTGGGAAAGAGACGAATGTGTCGCGGCGAGATTCCCCTGCGTGTAGGCGCCCCGCTCCTTGCCTTTCCTCGCTCTGTCCAGGAATAAAATCCATGATGAATATTCTCACTCTGCAACCACAGGACGTAACCTCCTTATCCAAAGGGCCTGGCGGTGCTCGAATTGTCATGGGAAAGCAAAGCGACCCCCCCCCCGCCCCACATTCACTTTGTCTTGCCTGCCTCGTCCCTAATTGATTTAAGGCACCCGTGTTGTTTACGCAGCAGAGACTCACTTTGCGGTTTGAAGGTAGGTGGTTGCGATCCTCATAGCCATATTTCCACAGGAAGACAGTTAAAGATTCCCGCGCGGCCTGGTCTGTCACTTTGTTGTTGTTTTTTCCACTCCTTGTTTGATGAAAGACTCTGTAATTGGGTGTTTCTGACCCTTTTGGCCTTGTGGACTAAGAAATTAAACTCACTTTTTTTCCACTTAACTGGTTAATTTAATTTGCCCACTAACGGTGTCAGACAGCAGAAGGGGAAGAGAAGATAGAAAATTTAATTTGTAATACAATTTCATACTTGTTTGTCTTGCTAAGGCCAGGTCAGAATTAATTTTTTAAAATTTTTTTTATTTGCTTTGTTCAAAAAACTTGCAAGACGCATTTGTAGGCATAGTTTTGATGCTACGTTCACACCGGACGCGAATCGCGTGTCAAATTCGCGCCTGACGCGTCTAGTTTGACGCTTGACCACTTCGTGTTAATTCGCGTGTCAAGAGTGAAACTGACGCACGTAAAAACAAAAGTTTGAAGCAAAATTTACGCGCTTCATAATCGAAATCCGTTGGCGGCCATTGTTTTTATGTCGACCGAGCATTCATCGAGAGAGTCACCGCTCTGTATTTGTGTGGGGATCATCGTCGCCGTATATTTGTGTCCTCTGGACCCTTCGGAGGCGAACCATTTGGCGAGTTTCACCATTTGCTCGCTCCAGGAGCTGCGCTGGATGACGGCCGCTGTCAGCGGTACTTCCGCCTGTCCCGTGCCCAGTTTGATGACCTGTTGTCCCACATCGGAGCGAGGATCACCCTCGCCCTCATCCATCTAATCTAGCTGTCATTAATTTTTGTTTTGATGATAAATAGAGCCAGCCTTCAAAAGTTATTAACCTGTCCTGTGATTATTTTTTTTTTCTCTCTCACGTCCAGACACGAAATGCACATATGTTGATTGTCTTTACATCATAATACTATTTCATATAATCTAGATATGGAATAAATAACATTCAATACAAAATGAACATGTCTCGTATATAGAAATAATGTTTTAAGTGATAAAATATTTGCTTTGTTGTGCATTAGAACCACATCAGGCATTTAGTCATATTACAAAATAATTTATTGAAGCATCCAGACACTTCACCACGTGAGCAAGCAGCTAGGCTCCTGATTGGTTAACGTGGCGCGAATTCACGCCAAAGTTCATGTTTTTCAACTCGGGCGGCAGACGCGAATTCGCGTCAAACGCGTGAATGCACAAATGGCACTAACTAAATCATTCGCGCGTAACGCGCTTAACGCACCAGACGCTCAATTTGCGCCATTCGCGCGAACGAGGCGTATTCGCGTCTTCCACGTCGCGCTCCACGCCTCATTCGCGCCGCAGGAATTTTTTACGTTTTTGCATTGACTTGCATTGAATTTTTTACGTCTTTGCATTGACTTAACATGGAAATCATTCGCGCCTGACGCGCTTTTCGTGTTCGGTGTGAACGTACCATGAGGCAGGGGTGTCCAAACTTTTTCTTTTTTTTTTTTAAGGCGCCTGATTTGATGCTGTGGACACACCAAGGGGTCGCACAGTGTGTACATTCATTTTTCCTGATAATTTCCTGATGTTTTTTTTTCTTCAGTCGACAATAAATTAAGGTTTTTTGTGGAAAACATTACAGGATTGTTCTCCTTATAGTGGACTTCAATGGGGATCCAAAAAAATTGCAAATTCCTTTAATTTGGCCTATGTTGCATTACTTCTATTATACGTTTGATAGGCCGACATGTCTACATTAATAATATAATAACATTTATGCCTCCATACCATGGTTACAGTTAGTTACAGTGCTATTTGAACTACTTTCGAAGATGAAAAGGAACTTTGGCAAGCGTTTTCCGGGCATTTATGCAAGGCAAAATTACAAAGATAAATATTCACACTTTCTGAATTATTGAATTATACCTATTTGCATAAATTCCGTTCACAAGTGATATTTACTTTGATTGATCGATTTCTTGTCTTCCTCTTCATTTACACTGTTATAAACTTATATACAAAGTGTTTTCACTAAATTATTATTGGAAAGCTTTGATTAGTTCACTCACTCACTTTTTTTGAAGTTTGAAAATCGAAGATGAGATTCTCTGAAAATAGCACAGAAGTTATTGTAATCAGTTACAGCTGTAACAGTTTTATTGTAATACGTTACTGTAATACGTTACAGTTATGTATGTTCTTACTGGGTCTTAATATGACCATATAAGAAATGGAGAGAAAAAAAAAATGGAATTCTATTAATTTTCATCAATTTCAACCCTTGGGACACAAAAGTGCCCGCAGTTAAAAAAAAACTGCCAATTACAGTGATGCGTTTGAAGTGAGTACAGACATGAATGTACTCTCATGCACAATGGGTTTAGACAATTGTCTCTTCACACATAAAGAGCATTTGTATGCAGTGAATCAACCCTCCTCACTGGTATTAGATTGAAATGCTCTCCAGGCCCTCCGAAGCTTTTGTGGTATTTTGTCTCTAATTACTGTGGTAATTTGTGTGTACAAAGCAGATTCTCTTAGGTGCTAATGATTTTTTCTCCACCCTTTGTTTTCCTTACACCTTCACACCATGGCTGCTGATAGCTCTGAACACAGTTTTAGCGTCTACATGGGGCGCCTTGCTCTCTGCGTGTGCGTGTCACTGTTTTAGAGCGGTTGTTAACTCGGAAGTGTAGATTTAGCGTGATTTTTATAGTCTCAGCCATGCGTGATTGTGTTCGGGTCTCAGGTGAGCACTTGCGCTTTGAGGCGCAGGGTAGAAAAAGTTGTTAATTACAAGTATTGTACTTCCCACCTGTGTTTGACAATAGAGAGTGAAATTATTGATATTGTAATGCTTGATTATTCTAGAGTAACTATAAAAGGGTTTTCTTTATGCGTCAACCTTCTCTAAGAGAATATTTAAAGCTAAATGCAGCTCTATGAACAATGTTTGTGTTGCGCTGCTGATAACCACAGAAAATGGCTCCCCGGTTTGTAAAAACACACAATTTGCATTTACACAAATGTATATACTGGACTTTAAATGTAGAAATACAATTAATCATAATTGTTCTGTGCAAAATTTTGTCTTATTTGAACTGTAAAGGTATATAAAGTGGACTTTTTGTATTAGGACTATTCTATAGGTGGTTAAAGTTCTGGTTATACAGACATAATGTAATTTGAGTCCCCCCATGTCAATAATTTCATCCCTTAAAACTCATCTTTGACATTAAAAATGCACATTTAAATGTTTTTTTTTTCATGAAAAAAACATCTTCATGCCTTAAAATAGCTTGAATGTAACTTTACACCCTTGCCTCATTTAGTATATGTGGTTCTATAAATATGCAAATTAGGCCCGCCTCCACTCACTCACACCAGCTCAGAGATCCACTCGTTGACGATCACACAATGATCTGATTGGTTACAAGCTAGTTTGTGACGTCAGAAACACCAGCGATTTTTAAACTGCATTTTGGAGTCTTTGGTTCACTGCAGTTTTAAGGAGAAAATACTCAGCAATGGTGTTGACTTGAATTTGCACATGGTTTGTCTTAAAGCATATTAAAAACACCACATAGGCATATAAACAACCTTAAAAACTTGATTTTCACCACAGGGGGATTTTAATAGTATCTGTGATTGTATCATACTAGTATCTTGTTCACAGGGGGGGGGGATTAGATTGAGTCGGGATTAGGCCAAAAATAATAATAATAATAATAATAATAATAATGTTGGTTATCTAAAGACAAAACAATGGCACTTACATATTTTGAGATGTCAGTGCAAGTTGCTTTCAGTTAAGTCTGCTCAAACATGCATTTTAACCTTAAAGGGGCACTTGGCAACTATTTCAAGTTAATAAAACCATTTAGAAATGATTTGAAAGGTTTAAGAACCAGTTTTGGTGAGAATGGTGACTTTCCCCGCTCCCCCCCAGGCGGAAAACCAACCTTGCAACATCGGTAAGTTGGAAATAGAAGTCTTGTGAGAAGTGAGAACAAGCGAGAAACACAAAGTGCTTTGTGGCAATTCGACATAATTCTATGATAACACAGTTTATGATGTATTACACACTCTGTAGACATATAGCTCCACGCGATAAAGTGCACAAATGCACATAAGCAGCGGTTGAAAGCAGGAGCCCCCCTAGTCCCACTTTGGCAAAAAAAAAAAATAATTATAACTATCTTGGGGCCTCAAGATAGTAACTCGTGGCCTCAAGATAGTAACTCGTGGCCTCAAGATAGTAACTCGTGGCCTCAAGATAGTAACTCGTGGCCTCAAGATAGTAACTCGTGGCCTCAAGATACTATCTCGTGGCCTCAAGATACTATCTCGTGGCCTCAAGATACTAACTCGTGACCTCAAGATAGTAACTCGTGGCCTTAAGATAGTAACTCGTGGCCTCAAGATAGTAACTCGTGGCCTCAAGATAGTAACTCGTGGCCTCAAGATAGTAACTTGTGGCCTCAAGATACTAACTCGTGGCCTCAAGATAGTAACTTGTGGCCTCAAGATACTATCTCGTGGCCTCAAGATACTAACTCGTGACCTCAAGATAGTAACTCGTGGCCTCAAGATAGTAACTCGTGGCC